ATGAAGTCAATATTAAACACATCATAGTTCATAAAGTACTCCATGAGAGTTTGAAATCGATGAGTTTCGTTGCAGACATTTTTGAAGTTGTCGAAAGCCGACAATATAATCTCATGTCCTCCCTTGACCAAACAAATTGCAGCTAGAAGCTCCAGTACCAACGCCTTCGTGCGCAACGACTTATGTATCAAGCTAAGCGCTATGCAGTTAATTGCTTCGCGGTGTTGAATAACCATATTAAATCCGTATTTGTTATTCATTATTGCACGTAAACACATTATACAGACGTGTATGTCGTCGGTTGATGCACCCATATTTAATTTGGCAATGTGGCGTGAACGCCTCTTGATGCTGGGGCTGTCAAGAGCGTCCAGTATCGATGGCCGCAAAATGCTATTTGTGATTACATTTAAAGCGGATGTATTCGAATTTTGGTACCTCGATGATTCCAGAAGGTTGACACTGCTCACACCACCAAAATTTGACGCATTGCTTGCACCACTCAAGGACATAACTCCCATTGCCTCGGAAGTATTGTTACCCAAACCACTATTGTTCAAAATCAAATGTTCTTCGGACTCATTAAACGAGCCATGGACTCTCTGCTCCTGTCGCATCATTTGAAGGCGGAAACTGAGGTAATCAACAAGGGCATCGAGCCCTTTGTTTGTATCGTCCAGAAATTCTTTCACCCACTCTATATGGTTGGTGCGCAAGGAAATTTCTAAATCGCGTAACACCTGTGTAGACGTCGATTCGCCAACCATTTTTCGTTTCTGACAGAAAAAATAAATAAAATAAAGCTGTAAGTAGGCATATTTTTAATCACAAACAAAATCGTGGTTCCACGAAATGTTGTCACGATACCAATTTATTTTTATTGTTAAACCATGAAAAACATGTGCAAATTATTAAGCAAAGCAAGAGAAATGGGGAGAAATAGAGAATCACAATTAGAAAGAGAAATGGAAAGGTGTTATATCCCACCATGTCAACAAATGATTCAACTTTATATTTAAAGAGTGACTACTTACCCGATGACTACGCGAAGCTTTCGGATCCAAATATGTTCGGAGCTTGTTGAGATAGTGAGATGGCGGATCCTTGGCTTGAACCATCTCCTGAAATAACATATTATATTTCATTTAGTAACGCACTACATTAATTCCAATAAAACTTGCCTGATCACAAATTATGTCCCATTTTCTTTCATCGTCGTAATTCTTTAGGAGCTTTGCTTTATCTGGAGGTAAATCCATCGAAGCCTAAATAAAAAAGAAAACTGGTATTTAATAACTTGTGTAGTCAGTTTAGCAGCAAACATTTTTTAAAAACTATTAAAGGAAAAGGTTCTAACCGGAGCAATGTTTTACCACAACGAAAACTACAATAATCCACCTTTTGCCACCGTTATTTACATCGTGCTACCCAAAAATCGGATAAACTCACATACTTAGGAATATTTTTTGCAGCTTTTCAATAATGACCTTTTCTGATTTCTGTCGTTTTTCAATGGTCAAGTGTCAATAACCTATATGCTCCCTCGTATTATAATGCGTAATACTCATACATGTAATTAAAAAAGTTGTGACCATGTCAATTAGGCGAAATCAATTCTAGCGATTCTAATGTAAATTTACTCAAACTTAATTTCATTCGAAGAATTTTTGGTGTTGTGTGAATTTAATACCATCGATCGACCTGACAAAACCTGGAACTATTTTTTTTCTATTTCCAGGCACCATGCATTCGGAACATTGAATAGAACACCTAACCCATTTTTCATCTGTTTTTGCAGTTCAAATTCATCGAGAATTGCACATCATGATTGGGAGGTATATCTGTTAGTACGCTTATATTCAAATACGTATGAATGAATACATTTACACTAGCAGCAACAACAATCAATCAAGAAACTGGTTTGTCTAAGCTAAGTGTATTATTTCTCAGTCAATTGATGAACAAATGAGTCAGAACATTAATTGGCATTAGGTTTGGTTTTAATAAAAAAATATGAAGCGTGTTCGGTCGACACGCTGAGGCGTGCTTTTGAATTAAAATACCTATTATTCAAACCCATATAAACTTCAATAACAGCTCGCGAGAATCGTCATTGCGTTGAGAGCGTTTGTGTGTGTGCGTTTGAACGGAAGTAACTGGGAAATATCGAATATATTACATACCAACACCTTAGTAAATTTTCTTTCCAATTCCTCCGTTGTTGGCATTGGCTGCTGACTTCGACTTCGTATACTGGGTTGACGCACAGGCTGGTAGTGTGAATTGTTCCCAATGTCGTAGCACAGGTCGTTCTTTTGCAAGTAGCCGCCATTGCCACAGAACCCTTTTCTCTGGTTATGATCTTGCTTCAAGGCAGAACTGCAAGCTGCTACATTTATGTCGTCTATTGAATTGTCCCCAGACGATATGTCTCTTGATTTGACAGTTCCCATTTCGGAAGAACTACATCCGTCACAAGATCCCCTTTGTACAGCACCGAGAGTTGCAGCACCGCCTAATGATGATATCGCCTCCCACACTGTCGCACTGACAGTGCGACACAGCCCTCTTGCTTTCGCAGGACAGCTCGAAAGTTGATCAGCCAATTCGTTAAGTAAATCCAAAATTAAGCCCTCGTCTGTACACTAAACCCACAAAAAAAATTCTTTGCGTTTTAATTCAATTCAACTACTCAATGAATTTAATAACGTTTCCCGTTGTTTTTGTTTTTTGTGTTTTTGTTGGCAATGCGACGGCTAATTTAACATATTCATACTTCAGACAATAAAAAAGCAACAACACATCCGATATACATAAAAACGTCTGAGCGATTGAGTTTATTGTTCACCAAAGAAAAATTCCAAGCGCATAACAAAATACATATGCATCTATTTTGTTTATTTTGTTTGTGCTTTTGGGCTCGACTTATTATTTATTACATTTATTACACATGATGGCACAGATGTGAAAATTTCGATCGCAAGAAATTAATAAAAATTAAAATATATAAAATATATATTTTCTGTGTCTGACGAGAATGAGCGAAACTCAACGGCGAGGGCCTCGATATGACGGCACTCGATAATTACAAAAGATAAAGTTAACAATCGATAACCTCTTTTAAAGTATCTTATCGTTACTATCGACATTGACATCGATTGTTTGCCACCTCCACTGCACGCGACTTTTGGAAGATCTGACTTGCACTGCCTTTACACGGTGCAATTTTTAGATGGCATTTTTATCAATTCTCTTTTAAAATTTCTGCGTAAATCTTCGCGCCTTTACACGGTGGCATTTTACGATAATAGTGCTTGGCATTTTTTCTGACATTTTATTTTATTCAGTATTTCGTATAGAGCTAATTGTTTGTAACAGATATTTATAAAGAAGTGATTTAAAATTAAATGTGTGAATCTAAAGAAGAAATGATGGAAAAAGTTATTGAGGTGTTGAATATTGCATTATTAACTTTTATTTTAATTTTCTTTTTTTACTTTTTAATACTTCCAATTAATTTTCATATAATTCACTATACAATTCAATCACTAAAAACATAACATCACAATAAAAGAAACACATCAAAAATTACAATAAAATAACGATATGAAATGTCAAAATGATAGAAATGGATAGAAAAAAAAATGGCACGATAAGCCACCGCACAGGGTTACATGCCATTTTCTTTGCATTTCTCTTTTTGCTTCTTCGGAATTTTTTATGATTTTGACATTTCATATCGTTTCTTTATTGTAATTTTTTATGCGTTTCTTTTATTGTGATTTTATGTTTTAGTGATTGAATTGTATAGTGAATTATATGAAAATTAATTGGAAGTATTAAAAAGTAAATAAAAGAAAGTTAAAATAAACGTTAATAATGCAATATTTAACACCTCAAAAACTTTTTCCATCACTTCTTCTTTAAATTCACACATTTAATTTCTTTATAAATATCTGTTACAAACAATTAGCTCTATACGAAATACTGAATTAAATAAAATGTCAGAAAAAATGCCATGTACTATTATCGTAAAATGCCACCGTGTAAAGGCAGTGTTGGAATGACGAGAATGGGCAAAACTCAACGGCGAGGGCCTGGATATGACGGCGTTAGACATAATTTAAAAATATGAAGAGAGTGATATCACATTTTTGAGGGCGTGTGGCTTAAAACGGAATTGAATTTGGCCTGTTCCAGTACTACAAGAATGTAAAAGTTTTTAATACGATAACCGATTTTTCCTTTATGATATCAAAGAAAATTGCAAAACTAGTAGATTCTTGCTTTTCTTTGTGGTATTATGTATTATGTTTTATAACAAATTTTTATATTTTATGAATAATTTTTTACCGCAAATTTCAATTTATATGTTTTCACACAACAAATAAAGAAGAATTGCACAGTGAAATCAAAAAAACAAAAGGAAACATTCCCACTCTGATTTTTCTGTAATTTACCTTGTCAAATTTGATTAAACATAAAAACTGGTTTTCATCTCTGATTAGTATTATACAATGGTTTTATGAATTGACATTTTGACAATGAGATGAAAATTTAGTGGAATTTCAAATAACCATATCGACTTCAGCATTTTCATCATTACACATTTTTATAGAACAACGAATTTATTCTCTGAGCTCATACGGCTACCTTTATAAATACAGTTTGTTTATCATGGAAACTTTTGACATTTGCCCACATATGCCCGGAAACAACAACAAACACACAGATGACAACAAAAACAGCTGAGCTACCAGTAGTAGCAGTTGAAATTTTGTAAATTTTCCGGAAATTGTGTGAACGTGCATAAACCGTACCTTATTTATTTCTCTGAAGGATCTCTAAGCAGCTGTTTATGTTTAGATGGGACCGATTTTCAAAACCCTGCAAGGGATTCATGTTTTCGATCCGGTGAACTCTGTGAACTCCAGCTCATGTCTGGCTTTCGACCTGCTAAGCCCTGAATGCCTTCTTTTTCGATCTGTTGGCCCCTTTAAAATTAATGTTTCTTATGATAAGAGAGTGAAGCGGTCGTGTATTTGTCGTTAATTAATAATTAAATTGGGCAAAAATAGTGAGAAAAAGAAGTTAAACCGTAGAATTCTTCGGTTTGGTGAGTCCTTGCAATTGAAAGTCTTTGATTCCCGAGTTGTAGCTGTATTTTTAACTGCCTGTTGCAAAAGTTTCGCGGCACTATAAATAATGTTTAAGCGTGCATTCAAAGTTGTACTACGGCCAGTTGTAAAAAACAATTTTGTTCTGTTACCCGAGAGCTATTATAAAGTGGTGTCCACATATGTAAGTATCACTCGCAAGTACAAGATTAAAGGTGACAACTGATAAGATTATTAAGATTATTCGATAAGATTAATAATATGAAACTCATTCTAATTTCGCAAGGACAATGGATGTCTTCAGTTGCAGTACGAAGCACGAACGCACTATGTATCTTGGGCCCCGGAAGGCAGCAGTAAAGACAACGAAATTGCTATAAACGCAAGAGTTGCCAAAGAGATTGGTGAGCACACTTTATACCAGCTAATAATAAATTTGGCACAAATCGCAAATCGCAATGTAGAAGCAGAGCAATATATTTTTATATCTTAATGTTTGCCTTGAAGAAACAGTGGTTATGTGCACGCATAAATATTCTGTAGGCAAGAATTAAATAATGTTTGCTTCTCAATGTTAACTCCTAAGGCCTGCATGGCATACATGTATTAACTTTACTATTAGGGTTAATTGTTAGGTCGCAATCCACAGATCAAACTTTTTTAGAAACTGTCATTATAATTGACACACGGACTAAAAAGTCGTGTCGCATGAGTTCTGATTTACTTTATTTCATTTCATATATTTGTATAACAAAATATCTAGTCTTTCGACCACAAGTCTATATTCTACAGTTTAATATTTGACATTAAAAAAAGTTGAGAAGCAACTCTCCAAACAAAACCATTAAGGGATTGGACCTACTCCATTGACAAAAACTTCTTACAATTACTGCTTATCAATTTAGAAATTTCTGGAGAAAATATCATAAACTATTTTATGTTTTATGGCCCTATGGCGTCCGCAACATATAGAAAATGTTGATCTCCTAATGAAATTTGTAAATACAAACATATAATATATGGTCCTTATTCTTGAATTATATTTGTTTTAGTTTTAGGTTTGCTTTAGATTTATGTATCTTCAGCCATATGACTACAGATGGAAGTATGGACAATATCGGCCCACTCCTTCTATTACCACCTCCACAAAGCGTTACAATTTTCAATAATTCAATATTTCTACCAACGCTAAATCTTCAAATTTGATACCTCCCCCACAAAGAGTCAACACTTTGTATAATAACATAACGACAGTTTTGACGATTTCCTTCTAACTTAGGATAAATATCGGTCGACTCCTAATAATTACAACTCGCACCAAATGCAAAAAAGGTGAAAATGTCTTTTGACGTCGGACAATGCTATACATGCAACAACATTAGATTCTAGTAGGCTAAATGAACATTTAATTAGTTTAAATGTTTTATTCTATTGCTCCCAAATCATTCTTTTAAGTGTACCTATTTTGGTAGAAGGGAAATCCCATTCAATTGTAAATCCAAATATACATGAACATCATTTACATTATATTTTTAAGTTTTAGAAAATAATAAAAATACAATAATAATTACAAATGCGGCGATGCAAGTGCAAAAACTTGAAGTTATGCACCTATATACGTGATTTTTATGGTTTGAAACGCATCATAGTTCCGAATTAAGTGTAGATCCACTGACCTTATAGTTCATTTACAACACTGTCGATCGTTATTGACGAACACATGTCCTAATTCATAGGCCTTTAATTTCTTTTAGGACTCAATGAAAATGATTTTGTAAAATGCACTTTAGTCGTGGATGTTCCCATTTTGCGAAATGTCTTCCTTACACCCGTTTCGAAAAAGGATTGGGAAATAATAGTAAGCTGCCTCACGAGAGTTAGTGCTGGAAACGCAAATTTAATGACCTTTCTTATTTTATTTTTAGGAGCTGAGTAGTGAACACATCTCGGATAGTGTTTTGGAGCAGACACGCATTGTCAATTCCAATCAAATTTTAATAGTTTGGGTAAATAAATCCATACAAGTAGCATTGACGGTGGGTAAGTGCAAAATAAGTTCTCCTTCGGGTCAAGTGTTCTCTTTTTGAAAAAGGCTTAACAGTACGAAAATTAAAACTAATCATAAATATGAACATCATTTTTATTGTGTCGTATAGATCGCTTGAAACCAAATCTTACTTATGGTAGAATTGACCATACAACACAATTGATTATATCGCCTGATGTTATCAGTAGTAACTCAAATGGAGCAACTGAAAGTATTCTGCGCAGTAAAACTGTCTCTAATGTGCCCAATGGCGATCAACGGGGCGTTTTCGAACAGGGGCTGTCCAAATCGTCGACCAGTAAACAATTTAAAAATAATCAGAATATAGCCAAATCTAGTCGGCACGACAAAATGGAACGTTTGAAGAAAGACTTGTGCAGAGAAGCAAGTAAATTTGTGGAGTTCAGAGTCATATCTGGGTCATGGTCGGATGACACACAAATATCGGACGTTTTCGTCAATGATATTAACTGGCCGCCTAATATGGACCCAATGTTAATTTACTGTCTTCGTACCATGGAGGATCGTGAATACTACGTTCGCATAAACTTGATTACTGCCGGCGAATTTCTGACAACAATTCACCCCACCATAGAGATAACTGCAAATCTGATGAAACTATTAGAATTGAAGGAATTGGAAAAGGTGGTTCTCAAACCGAAGCCAATGGTTGTCAATTTTGTTGAGAAAATTGAATTGTTCGCCAACAAGAAAACGCATTATAAGGTAGTAGAAAACGCTTTTAAACGTTTTGTAAAAGAAAAAACAGAAGAAACGCCCCTTTTATTGAACCAAAATGAAGTTGTACGATTAGAGGACGACCTCGTTGTAACGGTTGGCATACTACCGGAACACTTTCATTACTGCGCGGTCGATTCACAATTTCTAAAGGAAAGCAAAATATACGCTGCTGATGTGGTGCGAAATGTCGATGACATACTTTGCGTTAAACCCCCTGTTGAGACTCCGATCTTTTCTAAAGATGTTATAAAGCTTCGTGATTTCGATTTAAAAGTTGAAGATCTGATAAGTGAGTTGAGAAGAAACCTTTGTTTAGATTCTACAAATTCTGTTTTGCGGCAGGCGAATATTCTTTTGACAGGTAAGGTAAGAGACATATCTCACTGACAGTATTAACATTTTAGTGGTGTTTTAGGTTCTTCGGGTGCTGGGAAGACTGTTCTGGTTGAGCGTATACTTAATGAGTTGGTTCGCAAACCATACTTCTGTCATTTTGAAATATTTAACTGTACACGTAGCAAAGGGCGAAAGGTATGTTTGCTAAACAAAAACAACGCCCCGACCAATAAATTCTTCTGTTTTCTTTTACAAACAGGCCGAGTCTGTGCAAAAAGATTTGCGTACAGTTTTTACTACATGTATTCAAAAAGCGCCTTCAATTGTGGTTTTGGAAAACCTAGATGTCCTGGCTCATGCATCAGGTGATCAGGCAACACAAGACAACGAATACTTCAATAGAATAGCCGATGTTGTCCATCAACTTGTCGTTCAATATACAACGTCTCATCCAATTGCTGCTATAGCCACTGCCAACGAAGTGCATTCTCTCAATAAACGCGTATACTCGCCACGAGGCCGGCACCTTTTTCAAACAATTGTAAATCTGCCGGGATTAGAGAGGCAAGACCGGGAAGTGGTACTTAAGGAACTTTGTAGCCACATTGAAACTGACAAACTGGATTTTGAGCGGTACGCCCTTCTAACGGAGGGGTACAACAAAGGAGATTTAGTGCAATTTATTGAAAGAGCAATATTCTACGCATATCGTTTAAGTAATTATATTAAATTTATTTATTCATTCGAGTTATAAATGTGCAACAAAGCCTTTCTTTGAATTGTCCATTCATAATTTGTCGATATTTTGCAGGTAAAACCCGTCCGGTGCTCTCGAACGAACATTTGAAAAAGTCTTTGGAAAACACTAATTCCTATTGCCTAAGAGGAATAGAGAGTCATCAAACCACCGACCATACTTCTGATGTGGGTGATTCATGCGATGAAAATAATGTACACGGTTTAGAATCGGTAACCTCCGTTCTTGAAGAAGTTCTCATGTGGCCGTCAAGAGTAAGGAGTTAAACTTGCCAATTGAAATACCAACATTAACTTGTTAAATATTTATAATAGTATCCAAAAATATTTAACGAATCGCCTCTGCGTAACCAAGCAGGTGTACTTCTCTACGGGCCGCCTGGTACCGGAAAGACGTTTTTAGTCTCAAAACTTGCTAAAAAGTGGAACCTTCGAACAATATCTGTTAAAGGTCCGGAATTACTCGCAAAATATATTGGACAAAGTGAGGAGAACGTTCGCAACTTATTTAATAGGTAAGATTTTTCAAACATGAAGTAAGGCGATCACTAACAACATCACATTTACGAGTCCATATAAATATTATGCTAGTTGCATCCGTTTATGCCAATGTTTTTTTTTTATCTGAGTTTTCAGTTGGAGAGTGGAGTAAGCTCGTTTTTGTCATTCCAAATGTGCAAGTTGTTTTTGTTCATGTCGTTTCAGAAATTGAGTAATATATGCACCCTTATTATGGTTGGCGTTGTCGTAGGCGTTTAAGTGTCGTAGACGTAGTCGTAGGCGTTGTCGTAACTAGAAATGTTTGGTATTATGTACAATTTTCGACTACGACTTTTTTGTAATAGATATGAAAATGCAGGGTGCTCTGGAATAATAAACATTTTTTAAATTTACGAGCTACCCGGTTAAAAAAAAAATAAAAGCGTCAGTTTAAATGGTTGAATTAAAACGACGTTTAATTAAATATTGAAATATGTTAAGTCCTGGCAATTATTTAGCTGAGTATGAAGATGAGTATATTAAAAATGATTTAAACGTGAGGCGAAAAATAATGCGGGTTATTTGTGCTTACAGAGGGAAGCGCACAGACATCCTGGATTACCACAACCTGCTTCTGTTGCATATTTCGTGGTAGTCTGTTTACGCTTGGAGGAGTCAGTGTGCAGGGCTTTCTTGTCTTCACTAATTTCAAACCCTTCAAATAGTTCCTCCTCAGACTTCTGTTCACCAAGTGTTGGACGCTGTTGAATTCAAATTGCTTGGTTCCCTGCATTTACAATTGTCTATAATTGTAACATGCGTGATGCTGCTTCCTCCGTGTCGCTTAAAATGAACTGCTTGAAGGGCCCTCCACCTGTAGCACGACATTCTGCCTTATTATGAACTAGCGTCTTCCTCAATTTTATTCGGCCCAGACTTTCATACAAGCCTCGCCTGTTCGAACCGGCGGTCTTAGGATATTGAGTTTTGCACCAATTTTGTTCCATTCTTCCTTGATGTTAATTTTTTTCAAGCCATTGCTGTAAACTCTAGCCAAATTTTGATTCATTTGCAAGATCTGGATCATTTCGTCAAATTGTTCACAACGACTTAAAATCTAGAGAAAGCGAAATGCTAATAGATGTAACTTCATATATTCTTGTAATGTTGATATATGCTTCTTATTCAAATCCATTTTGTATATTATTCTGTTGTAATGTCAATTTGGAAAAACTTTTCTGTGTTGTCGGCAACAAAATCTCTAACGACTAATTTTGCAGTGTTTGTCGAATTAGAACGCGTCTTGTGGTACGAAAATTGTAACAGAATTTCATACAGAGTTGTAATTTCTCGCATACGACACACATAATACCAATTAGTCGTTACGACGCATCTACTTGCTATTTTCGATACGACTACGCCAGCCGTTTACAGCAATAAATTACATGGTGTATTTCGGTAACTTATGCCCCGTGAAATGGAGAATAATACCGATTAGAAAGATCTCATGTAACCCGTACTTAACACACTTGGGCAATTATTGAAAAGCCATCTATCTATTATAAACCACTATGAATGAAAATACTGATCTTCGAAGAGAAAATATGAATATCACCTGCCAATACAACCGTTTATAGTTTTAAAATCCTTTTAATTGTTCTGGTCATTCAGCTTCGGTAAACTATGCGGTCAAATCCCACATGTCCATCACTTGAGAAATCGATCCACACATATGACTTATCATTTTTTCTGCGTTTAATTCGACCAAAAGGACATATCGGACGTTTACAAATCCGTTATCCTCTTAGTTCCCAAAATATGGAAGATCTCTTATATTGGGACTGTTCCATTATTTGGCAGATGGACATCTTTCAATAGACTTTATTTAATTTTAAGCTCATCACCAATATAAGTACGATAAGTATTTCGTATTGTTGCAAACCGAAATCGTCATACAGAAAATCCATGGTTGCTGCGTTTATTTCTATTACTATTTTCTAAAGATGTGTCCGAGGACGGCATTCATCCTGCAATTGCTGATAGCATCTGCGACTGCATCGGTATGAATGCCACTCAGACCTGCCTGATAGGCATTTTGATCTAGAGTCGGTTGTCGTGTCTATAGACGTCGACGTTATGTGCAAGTCGCCATCGCCGTCGCTCCGATTCAAAAATGGTATTACGGTGGGAAAAGAAGCGACATCGACAGTTAAAAAAAATGGCAACGCTACCTGTTGTTGACAAAAAAGATAAAAAATTGTTTGTATTTTAAATATTAATTTCTTCTCTTTCGGAAAACATAAAAAATATAGTGAAAATTAATGTAATAAATGCTATACACCTCTGAGGAGTTAACTGAACTAGTATACATTATGTTTCGTAGAGCCGTTGTACTGGATTATTTACTCATTTACCACTGATTCGGCTATAATATGTTCTCAGTATGAAAATTGACAACGAGACAAAGGGAATATTGGAAAGTAGAATACAATGAATTGCATTCATGTTTAGTTTATTTAATATTGGAGATTATAACGTCCTCTGGCTACAATGCCCAGTTATTTTTCAATCTTGGCTCAATTAAACATGGACATTGGCATTATGGGTGATACAGCAAATTAAATTGGGGAAGAAGCATAACATAACCAATAGATAAATAGTACGTTAACTATTATCATATTATGTATCTTTACAGGGCACGGAGTGCGAAGCCATGTCTTCTTTTCTTTGACGAATTCGATAGCTTAGCACCCAAACGTGGCCACGATTCTACCGGCGTAACGGACCGCGTAGTGAATCAGTTGCTGACCGAGCTTGATGGTGTCGAAGGATTACAAGGTGTTACTGTGATTGCAGCAACATCTCGGCCCGAATTGTTGGATCCGGCATTACTTCGTTCCGGTCGTATTGACCGATTGGTTGAATGTACACTTCCCGACTTTTCTGCCCGCGTAGCAATTTTCGAAGCGTTATCCACAACATTAGCCCTTGATGAGTCAGTGGATTTCTCTTACTTCGCCGAGAGATCGGAAAATTATACTGGTGCTGATATTCAGAGCGTCCTAACATCTGCCAATATGATTGCCGTAAAAGAAGCTCTTGAAAAGTTTGGACAAGAGGTATGTACCCTAAAACATATTTTAAAACAAAAAACGTCAACCCCAGCAATTACATAATAAAATTTGCCTCAAGATATAATTCCATCTGCCACTGAACCACATTGTCGCTGCAAGCAAAATCATATGAGCCTCTAGGAAATATATATTTTTTTTACTAAACAATGACTGAAGGCGGCGGCTCCATCTTCATTACAGTTTACCGAAAAAGAGACTATTTTTCTAGTTTTACTACGTTTTCGGCATTCTAGTCGCTTAAAACCAATGGTACCACAGAATGTGTTTCCCAAACAAATGTCATATAAAATGTTGAAAACTGTGGCCTTTTTGTTTTAGATTAAAATTTCGCTTTATGCTACTATAACTCGACGAAGACCCTCATGCTTATTTTAGAAAATCTTTATCAGAATCAAATTCTTTACTCCATTTTATTCTTTATTAAATAAGCCACAGTATGAAACCAAAAACAAACAAGTAAGTAAAGGCTATAGTCGTGCGGGACCAACCATGTGATACCCTACAACACTACAACATGTTGGAAGCCCCCTTATCTACAAATCCATCTTGGAAGATTTCGTTTTTGAAATGATGTTATAGAACGCTGCCCAGATGTTGCCCTTATTTTTTTGACCGGGGCATCTGCCCCATATTTACGTACTTCGTAGTGTTATTAGGTATTCAAAACAATTTTTTTATGTAGGTTGTGGTCCATTTCGCAGCTAAATATAATCCAATGGTCATCCAAAATGCTAGACTTCTGCCCTGTCATTAACTTCTTTCTCAAGCAAAATTCCGTGCCGATTGGTTTTCAATTGTGATCTGTAGATCGACTGCAAAATCCGGAAATCCATTTGAACCATTAAATGTACATCTTCAATTTTGACCCTAACCCTACTCCCGCACGATAATTACGACGTGTATATGGGGTGTAGAAAAACTTTAGAAAATGTAAAATTTAAAATTGTAAGTTCAATTGAAATAATCAAAGGCGATAAAAAAATGACAAAAATTGAAAATTGTCATTTTTACGCGATTTTCTTAGATTTTATCCTTTTCTGGCAAGAGACCATTTCGAATTGATGAGAATTGTAAAAATCAGTCCTGCGGTTTTTGACTTATAAACAGAATAACAGAGATCTATTTCTGTTACATATACATTGTATGTATATTGGGATATATAGCAAATGTATCCCATATCTTGGCTATCAGAATCACTGTAATGGTCAGAAGTGACCTTTTAATGTATTTGGTGTTTGATTTTTTGACATAAAAGTTATGGTTTATTTTACCTGCTACATATTGTCCAATGACAGTCCAAAGTGGTAGGCTTCTGCTCAGCACTAAAGCCTAACTCTATACAAAATTCCGCGTCGGTTGGTGCACAATTGTGGCCCCTTAATATTTTGCGATTATCTCCAAAACCGATAAACTTTTATTCTGACTCTAACCCCACCTCCATTTTCAATGACGATCGGGCCACAAGTGCGACTTGTAGCGTGATTACAAATTAACATGGACAGATGGACGGACGGACATACATAGCTCGGTCAAATAGGAAGATCCATAAATAGTTTCCCATTTCGGGAACCAATATTCGAGGTGTTACATAATTTTTGTAATAATATTATAATGGGGTGAATTTAATAATGTATGACTCTTTAACAGCGTTACCTTAAATTCGAAGTAACTTCACCACTATGGTAAAATATTTTGTTCGTCTGTATTACCCTAATACGCCAGGTCCTTATCTTAAAATCTACCAAGTAATAACGTATTAAAATTGGTACTTTATTAAATTTCTACCTTTGTAATATTTTCCAATTACGAACATTCACATTTTTTATCTTTCATTTATATTTTCAAACACAAAAAAAAAAAAAAATAAATTGTTCAATTGTCAATGTTGAATTTGTTGAACTTTGAAATTTTGTACGCCCGACGTATTTGGATAACACTCATATAAATACATGTATATAAATTGTGAATACGTCAAATTTTAGATAACGCTGTACAGGGTTTTTACCATAGTGGGGAAGTTGAAGATTTGTGTACGATACATCGAATTGTAGATAACGCTGTACTGAACAAAAGTGTAGAGTAAAAATTTGTAAGTTCTCAGTACTAAATTTTTGGGTAAATGGACAACATTCGGTAAAATGTCGTTCCAATTATTACCAAATATCGAGTACGAAGACTTGCAATTTGTAAAAACTCACAAAGATTGCAATCGATGGTGCGAAAAATCTGCGATAGTTCATTAGTTTTTGGCGATATTCTTTTATGTAAAAATATTGGGAGAAAAGAGTCGGATAAACAAAAAACAACTTTTTGCATTTGTTATTGGTAAATTTGAAGATACAACACCCTAGCTTCAGGGTTGTGTTTTTTCCACTTTAATCATTCTGCCCATCACTATTTATGGTTTGTTACTGTGCGGAGCTTACATTTCGCATATGAATCCATGTTTTTTTTTTGTTTAAGATAATAATAGATAAAATCGAACTAGATAATTTGTTTAAGACAATTAAAAATGATAGAATCGAACGAACAAATCATTTATCTGCATGGGTTTTGTGTGACTTGTGCTTTGACATTAAAATACGTAGAATTTTTTAAGTTTTAACAATGGAATCGTTTGTCGAATATATTTAAATATAAAATATTCAAACCAAAAAATCTCAACACTTGCAGCATCGATGTTGGAATGTAAAAAGTTTAGTTTGTCAAACCGTATACTTAATCGATCGACGCGATATATAACAATATAATAGTAATATATAATAATTGTACAAATCATACGTTTTTGAATGCATATCCCGTTGTACACGTCGTATTCGACTTGAGTTCATTACAAGTTGTAAGCACATGAATGCATTTCATACCGGTGCAATTCCGATTCCAAACCTTCGAGTCGCATATCGATGGTTGTTTCGCTTGTATACTGTGATAAATATACCAAACGATGTCATTTTGCAGCAACATATTTTGTCTTTATACAAAGCAATTGGCGCTCTCAGCCTTGTTGGATTTTCTATACCTTTTGTCTTTGGGCACAGAAATGTGTGGTATTTGATCACCTATATATGCACAGTGACTTGGAAAGATTACCTATGGTCTTTTGGATTTCTATTGATCCTAACCACCAACTCAAATTGAATTAACGAAAACTCAACATAATTGGATTTTCGTCGTCTTTTTGACTATTATTCTGTAAGAAAATCATAGTTTTCATTAGAAGTGGACTCCGTGCGTAACAGACAGACAGACAGATATGCATATTCATGTAAGCAAACCATTTCTCAGAATTATTTTTATCGCTGCCGTTTCAACGAAGTAATCTTGCTATGCGGGCAAAGTGATATCCCAATAGTCTCTGCGTTATCTCGAGCCTTGTTCGGATTAGAACTTTTACACACACACACAACAATTTGTAAAATCAGGGGAAGAAATAAGTCACGTAACGGATATTTGTTATTGATATGCAGCGCGCGTACACGCAACACAAACAAAGAGACGAAACGAGACGAGACAAGACAAGAAGACACTGGGAACCAACAATGATCGCACTGAAGACGTCGGGTACCTGTTGGTTAGATCGAAGTGCTTGCAGAAAGTAAACAAACATTGTTAAATGTGCATAAATTATGGAAAATCTGGAAAATACGTGCCCTGATGATAGGACGTATTGAAAATGGACACAAAGCAAAACGCAACACCAAGCACCTAGCTGCCGCTCCTGCATGCATGTTTATTGGTTTTAGGATGTACTTGCATAAACGTGTTGAGCATTAGCCTGCCTATCTATCCGGAATGCAGTGTGTGCGTTGTTTGTGTTCTCTTCGAGCACATGCAGGTAATTCTTTGAGAGCCAGAAGGAAAACGTCATGGGGATGATATATTCCTCCTGGTCTCGAAGAACGTTTCTCGCTTGCGAGCGATTTGATTGGTCGCACAATCGGCAGTATGGTATTGGTGACGATCCAGTGACGTCGTGACGTCGTTTTGCCAGCCACTAGTGTCTTTCATTGATTATTGTCTTCTCTTGTACGTTCGTAGCTCGGAACCCAGTGGCAGTTAGAGTTTGAATACGTCGAAGTCGTTAGTTGCGAATGAACATCTAGCCGGAAAGGTCTCGATCGGAAAGACATACTTTTATTTTGGTTTGGACGCGTTGACTAAACAAAACCAAGTTAAATGCTGTGACTTGCTACCAAAATACACCACCACACAATCTACCAACACTTGAATACAAACAGCCAGTGAACGTTACAATCGAACCAAAATTGTTTTGCGCGAACTTGAAAAATAACAACGACCCAAAGATTTGATTTGGTGTCAGGTGTGTATACACCCTGTTCGATGGAATCCATTAACGCCTCGACTCTATAACGATCCTCAGCAGACGTCGACGAATGCCTATTTTTGCGTAAACGCTGTTACTAAAGTATCGATTTGGTGGGTGCCACATTCAGCAACGCTTGTCCAAGCTCATTACTAAGGCAAATCACATACTGTTTTGAATAAAATAGTCAGTTGCTATCGCAAAGCCAGCGACACAAGCCACCATTAGAGGAGGAAGCCATTCTACATAAGCACTCATACCACTGGATACGAGCAGCAATGTCGTCATTTTACTGACAAACCCACCTGAAGTGCTAGATAAAGTTTTTAATTCGATTTCCAAGCAACGGCCCTCGGACTCGGGCCAAGAAGAATCGCGCGACAATCATGAGAAACAAAGGCAGTCGTTCATCCGTAATGAAGCCAATAGTTCTATTATTTGCCGTGATAATAGTTTGTGAAGTAGATATCGGCAGTGCGAAAAGTGTCGGAACGAACAGTGCCGGATATGAGAAGAACATTCAGTTGGTGGCCAATGCGATGCAGTTCGCAGAAGTGAATCTCAACCAAACTGTAAATGTTGTTTGCCCCTTTGAACAACGTCGGTGGTATTATAACGAAACACCCGTTGCATATGCCGATCGAAATCTGAGTTTTGAGAT